TGCCCAGCCTCCCGCACATGCCTCATCGCATTGAAAGATATCTATCCTCCTCTCAAACAAGATGTGCTGAAAGCTGCTGAGGTCTACATAGACTTCAAAGAGACAGTTCCAAAATGAACACTGGACAGACACAACCCTTTCATGTGCCAAATTAGAACAAATAAGTTAAGGGGGAAAATCGAGATGTGTCTACCAATCTGACTACACAATTTCAATATTAAACAAAAACTTCCACAAGAGCAGTTGATACTATACAGCCCACTCTGGCTCTTAAAATTCTGTCTCTCAGACTCTTAGGTACTTCAGGGCTTCTGCTATTCATACCATTGAATTGATTTATAGCCACAAATTGGAGCACCAAATCATAGAGTGGGACCAGTTCTGCCACAGTGATTCTAGCTGCACCCTGGGAAGCCTGGGGATAAGAAAAAGGGAAACAGAGATGGAATCTAATCTTAAAGGAATGGCACTGAGTTCCTAGAAGAAAGTTTTACTAAGAACTTTAATCTTCTAAAACCCAGCTCTCATTCACATTCAGAAAAGATACATGGGGGATGAAAAATTGACTATAAAATGAATAGCCTGTATGCTTGAAATGATCATTCTGTAAAGACACTTTTCAGTAAACAGGAATTATTTTGCAACTGGTAGATGAAGCAGAGATTCAGTGTGGATAAATACTAAAAAAGGAACAATTGACCATACAGTAGTTTTATCTGAACTATCCCAAGCTCCTTGATTTGAAAATTGCAATAGAAAGCTCAGGAGATTATGCCTTCTGCTAATACTTGTCATTTAAATGCCTTCGCTAGACCAGAAATACTGTAAGGATAGGCTGCCTCCTAAAAGGCTCTTGCTCTTATGTCCAGAAAAGCTAGAGATTTTGACGGCTGATCAGTTAGCATAGTTAAATTATTATTTTTTTTAATTTCCAGAAAGGGTCAAACTGGCCTTGGTAATTTATTAAATCACATAACAGCAATTGATTTATTAGCTCATGACAAAGTGTACATCATATGTTAATAATATCTGCCAGTCCTGATTGCAGTAACAGGCCAGTAATAGTAAACAGGCTATCCATATTTATGCTTTATTTATGTTTGGTTCATCAGCAAAACATTAATAATCAGTTGATGAAATGGAGAATGATTAATTTTCAGTTTTTTTCAAGTCAGATGTAACAAATCCTGAAACCTTAAAATGGGAAGCAAACCAGTGTTCATCTTTTATTATTTGATAGAAAAGCTATAGAATAAAAGTTCACAGGTCACAACTCTGATTTAAGCTTGAAGTTGGCCAAATAATTTTTAATATTATTCAGATATTCATTTATTTGACAAGTAGTGGTGGTTCACTTGCTTTCTAGGATTTCTGTATTTCTTAGTAACATTAAATTGCTTGTGCTTTGCCCTCTAAGGTTACACTATATGTAAATATGTTGTCCATATCTTATATATACACCAATATGTGTACATGTTACCTTAGGATGTAAACTCCTTGAGGGACAGAATGGCTTCACTTTTATTTTTAAATCCCCTCCACTTAGCAAAGTACCTGGAACACAGTAGGAGTTTAATAAATGGTTGTTAAATGATTTATGTGTACGCTTGTCCGGTGCTTAGCACATAGTAGGTACTTAATAAATGACTGTCAATTTTTTTTTAGTGGATCTGAAAGTGGGGTGAGACTGGACAGGAGAATTCATTTGTATTCTCATTTCTAATAGTTATTTCCATCTTCCTCTCCACAGAATGTTTACATTGTGAGTTTTCCCAAGCCTGGATTTGTAGAGCTTCCACCAGTGCCACTGGACGTTGGCACAGAAATTAACCTCTCCTTCAGCACCAAAAATGATTCAGGGATCATTCTTCTAGGAAGTGGTGGAGCGAATAACTCACTAAGGAGAAAACGAAGACAAACCGGACAGGTAGGAGGAGATAGAGCAAATGTATTTGTGCCTGCATGCTCTTGGGCATCTCTTCTTTAGGCAAGATATGGGCAAGGCATTTTGAGTTTCTGGTTTGTTATTTTGTTTTTACACCTGTTAAAGAAGGAAAGTTTTACAACTTTCTTTCGCTAATCGGAAGCAAAACCAATTTTACTTCTTACCTGAAACCATACTGATTTCATCATAATCATAATAATAGCTATTATTTATATAGTGCTTTAAGGTTTGCAAATTGCATTACAGATATCTCAATTGATTCTCACAGCAAGCCTGGAAGATAGGTGCCATTATTATCCCTATTTTACAGATAAGGACACTGAGGCTGAGAATGGTTAAGTGACTTGCCCAAAGTCTCACAGTCAGTAAGTATCTGAGGATAGATTTGAACTCAAATCTCTCTGACTCCAGGTCCACTGTGTCACCTAAACTGTCTTTGCCAATATTCATGCCTACCTCTGTTCTTGCATAATTTCATTTCTCATTTACATAAAAGTCTCCATTATTATTTTTCTGAGTTAGCTAATCAAGGAACAAGTAATAGGAGTTTGTTTTGTTTACACCAAAAGATACGTATGACTTGTATATGCCCACAAAAGAAACCATGCAGTTCTAGTACCAGGAAATTTTCCAGATTGCATTACAGTTATCCCTTCCATATCACAACTTTCCCCATTGCAGTTTAGATATACCACAGGTCAGCATAAAAAATTAAGTGAGAATTTGGGGGGAGTTCTGCAGAAGTCACAGATGACACGCAAAGGCCAGCAGATGACACGGAAAAAGTTCGGGAACTCAGAAATGCATAAAATACATGTACAGCATGGTATAATATCAACATATTTGATCTTTTAATACCACAATAATTCAGACTTCTTCTCTGATATGAAAGGAAGGCCAAAAAGTTTTATGCAGATTTTCAGACTGGAGGAGGAGAGGTGCACCCCTAACAACCCCCATCCCTCCCACCCCACCACTGGTGATGTAGAAGGCATAATTGTAATCTTATACCCACTATTCTTTCTGACCCAAATGCAAAACTAACTCTGATGATGGAAAGGAGGCTTGACATGGAAAATTAAATCTCTACAGAATCTAAAACCAAGGGAAATGTTGCCTCATTATTAAGGGAAGTTTGGTAAGTCTATCAAGAGCTTCAAATACAATAAGCCACCTACATCATTTCCCAAAATTCTGTTCCACGGGCTTGGCCTTGGACAATCCTACTTTTATTAGGTGATCTCACAAGAAATCAGCAATGAGACAATACTTCCCCTCCTTGATTCATAGATATTTTATTTTCCATGATAAGCCTCTGCTCTAATAGCAATGCAGCATAGAGAATTCGTTTTCATAAATGCATTGGAATTTTAAAAAATTTTGTACCGAACCTGTGACTTTGTCAGTATAGGAAACTTCCAATGAGAAAATTCCCTCTGCCAATATTTATCAGCAACCTACACTCTTTAGAATGTCTGTGCACCATAAGAGGCGAAGTAACTTGCCTTGAGGCTCATATAGCCAGTATGTGTCAGAAGCAGTTCTTGAAACCAGGTCGTCCTGACTCAGAGGTCAGAACTCTATCCATTATGTCATGCTGCTCCTCAGTAACAATAATAATAACAACAACAACAATAATAACATTATCCATCAATGAAGTAATATTTAAAGAACATAAACAGCTTTCCAGAATGGGTTTCCATAATAAGATAATAATTTTCCTTATCATTAATAGATGTTTTGTTTGAGTGCCAGCTCCAAATTTCTATCACTCAGTGCCAACCAAATCAGTTCAAATCAACAACACTTAGACGGTGCTTAGAAAATAGATTTTCCCTCTTATTAAAAATTTCCCATAAACAATCTATTATAACCCACTCGAAAATTAGAACTAACTTTAGAGTGATCCAATTAGTTCTGCATTTGAAAAATAGAGCTCACTCCTAGAACATAGTCATCCAAAAAAAAAACTGCTCTTAGGGGTGAAAAAGTGAGTTTATAATAGTTGACTTCTTTTAGTCACAGGATCTGTGCTTTTCAAATTGGCCTATTTTCAAAATATATGTTCTTGTCTGTCACATTCAACAATGATATTGCCAGCAAATTTCATAAAGATAGACTTGGGCCTCGAACATGTTCAGTTATTTGGCAGAATTTGTTGGCTTAAGACAAGCAGCGTTTGGAGAGTTCTGTTATTATTTTTTTAATCAATCAGACAAAACATTTCTTAAATGACTACGACGTACTTAGCACTGTGAGCCCTTTCTTCATATGCCATGAGCAGAAGCCCAAATCTTCAGAATATTCTGTGTTCAACACAGCTATTTTCTACTGAGCCAGAGAGGGAATGATTGGGGCTATTGTGAATATATGATTCCAATTCCTCACCGCTGAGGACAATTCTTAAGGAACCAAGAGAACATTGCACAGCCTCACATACGTGCTCCATGAGTAATGGAGCAATACCTGACATCAGCTTTAGGAAACATGACTGTTTCCAAAGCTCCCTGGGGTCTGTAACCAGATACCAAAACCATACTGGTTGCTATAGTAACCATGGCAAGAAGAAAGCAGGCATATTTTTTGGAAGAAAAATTGTTTTCCTCCCTTCTGACTATGGGATAAAAAGTTATGCATTTGTGATAACAATCTATTCAACCAGCTAGTGTAACATACCTTCAGTTTAAACTGTTCAAAATGCCATGAGCTCGAGAGCCTGACTAAATCTTTAAAACCCAGCTGGGGCCTTTCGCCCATCAATTTTATAACATTATTTCTACATGTGGATATGAGGGCTGAGTCTTTTATTTATACCTTGGGTTTCCTGGTCAGCTTTAAGAGCAGGAAGGTATTTACCAGCCTAGTTGCACGTGCCTGCAGGGTTATACGGCAGAAGGACTACCAGATTTGGAGCAAGATGTCCTGAAGCTTCCAATCGCCGCTCTGGATGCTAATATATGACCTCCAGCAAGTCACTTCACCTGTATGACCTCACTGTCATCATCTATAAAATGAAGGGATTGGACTATACAGCTCTGAGGTCCTTTATACTTACAGATCTGTGATCCTATGACCTTTTCTCTCCCAGAGACAGCCATGGCCTTCAACACGGCAGCTAAGTGGCACAGTGGATGGAGTGTTACACTTGAAATCAGAAAGCTCTGAGCTGAAATCTTGCTTCGGACACTTAATAGTTGTGTGACCCTGGGCAAGTCACTTAATCTCTCACAACCTCAGTTTCCTCATCTGTAAAATGGGGATAATAATAAAGCCAACTTCATGAAACTGTTGTGAAGATCTAATAAGATAACACACGTAAAGCGCTTTGTGAATCTTAAAGTAATATGTAATTGCTAACTATTATTATTACATATGTATTACATTATATTATGTATACTACGAAACATTATTACATTACTATTGCCTTATTATTATACTGTTGTAATTAATTCATTATTATTTCATCATTATTATACATATTATTATATACATTATTGTTATTGTTATTATATCCACCTAACATATCAGGGCTCTGAATCTTGACCATTATACTGCTTTTCACACCATTGCCTGCTTTATGTAGCAGGTAAAAATGATACGTGTATGAGTCAAACGCCTGTCTCATTTGGAAGTCTGCTGTAGTATCCAGGGGAAGGAGCCATTTGGCTGTCTTCCCTCGGAGATGGGATCCCAGAGCAGTTACATTTGTAGACTTCTCCGCACACATCTGTGACTGGGCACTACTTCTGATTGCCATATGATCACAACTAACCAGCTATTCATCTCCCTCGACAGGCCTACTATGCTATATTCCTGAACAAAGGCCGCCTGGAAGTACATCTCTCCACTGGAGTGAGAACCATGCGCAAGATTGTGGTCAAGCCAGAGCTTATCCCATTTCATGATGGGAAAGAACATTCCATTCATGTGGAAAGAACAAGAGGGTAACAAAAGCAAAAATAGTTCTTAACTGCAACCCTATAATAGAGTCAAATGAAGCTTCTTCCTTAACATGAGACTACTTAAAAGTGTATATGTTTAGCTACTTTTATTGAGCTTTTAGAAACTTAATTTCACCTTTTTTAGAACTTTTATACTTTAGAGATATAAAATTGTCAATTGATTCTCATCTGCTTTAGGCATTTAGGACTTTGCTACTAAATGTATTATTTGCTATATTAGAGGCAGGAATGCATACTGAATATAGTACTGGCTTCAGAGTCAAGAAGGACTGGGTTGAAAGTGAGCAGGCCTGAGGAAACCAAAAAAAAAAAATCATTCTCCCTTTCACCCTAATATAAATTAACGAATGACTCTTTTCTTGCCAACCCACAAAGCTGTCATCCTGACCTATGGATGAGCAAGTGATCCTCGTATATTCCCATTATTCATTTCCTCAAAAGATTTCCATAGTTCGCTTTTATCCTGTTAGAAAAAGCATCTGTATCATTTATTTGTGTTCTTTCTGATAGGCCAGAGGGATAAAATCAGGCTATTCTGCATATTTATCAGGTAAACAAAAACAAAACTAAAGACTCGGGGTGACTTTCCTAAGGTCTTATTGCAAGGTAGGCAAACTCACTCCAGTATATTAGCAGTTTCGTCATTAGACTGAATGCTTAGCAAGAAACCGGAAGTCAAATTTGTTGTAATCAGACAATGCAAGACTTAGACAATTAACAGCATCGGTGCATAGGAACTGGGCAAGTCAGCAAAGGCTAACCTGTAGCATATGTCTAACTCATTCAGCATATATTATTAAATTTCCTACATAATGTGCAGAATACAAAGAACTAGTCGTTGCCCTCAAGTTTCCAGTCTAACAGGGGGACATGGCATGTACATGAATAACTGTAATACAAGTAAATGATTATCAATGCCTGGAGAGCAAAGCAAATTTCTAGGGAAGTTTTGAGAAGGGAAAGCTCACTTCCCACAGGGAGTAAGGGGAATGGAAGAGGGAAGAAACTAAGGGATGGCTTCATGGACCAAATGACAGATGAGCTGGGCCTTGCAGAAAGGATAAGAATTAAAGCAATTGAAAATGGGAGAAGCAGGAAGAGTAGAAAGCATTTGAGACAAAGAACTAAGTGAGCTACAAAAAGAGGCAAGACAACATTAATTCCTTGGGAGAATGGACTATGTCTTATTTATCTTTGTTTATCCTTTACAGATTGGCATGGGTGTTTGTTTTTTCCTAGTAGGTACTTGATAAATGTTTGTGAAGTGAACATTTGAGATTGCACGGGTTGGGGGGCAGCTAGGTGGCACAGTGGATAGAGGACTGGCCCTGGATTCAGGAGGACCCGAGTTCAAATCCACCCTCAGACACATAACACTTACTAGCTGTGTGGCGCTGGGCAAGTCACTTAACCCCACTGCCTAACCCCCCTCCCCAAAAAAAAAGAAAAGAAAGAAAGAGATTGCACGGATTGCCTTGTTTGAATCTCTTATACAATTAGAAATAGTCCATCTAATGAGGACTAGCTAGTCATTGTAAATGACCGCTGGCTCAGGGGTAGTCAGAATCTCATGTGAGCTATCTGGCACATAATGATGTAATGGGGGGGAAAAAAGCATGGTTTGGAAATCAGATTTTGGTTTAAATTTATTACCTGTGTGATTTGGGGAAAGTCATTTAATTTTTCTGGGCCTCAGTTTTCCTTTCTATATGATGAAGAGGTTGGACTAATCTCTTAAAATCCTTCAGTTCTAAATCTTGTTGTTGGTTTTTTGCAACTGCTGTAACTACTCTTAAGATTCAGACATATATACATAATGGAGAAATTTGGCTATGTCATCTTGAGTTTCTTGAAGGCTTAGACCTAAATACATCACCTTTATTCTATCTCTGGCATCTACCAAAGGTGCTTAATGAATATTTGTTAGTTTGCCAAAATCTTCAGAAATGCTTTGTGGTTGTTATTGTTCAGTCATTTTCAGTTGTATCTGATGTTTTGTGACCCCATTTGGGTTTTTCTTAGCAAAGATACTGGAGTGATTTGGAATTTCCTTCTCCAGCTCATTTTACAAATAAGGAAACTAAGTCAAACAAGGTTAAGGGACTTGCCCCAGGTCATAGCTAGTGTATGAGGCCAGGTTTGAACTCAGGAAGATGAGTCTTCCTGACTCCAAGCCCAGCACTTTATCTACTGTGCCACCTACCTACCCAGAAATGCTCTGAAAGACTGAAAAAGGTCTGCTTGAACAGATTTTATGCCCTGTCTGATTTTAGTCCAGTTCTCACAGAAAGAAAAAACAAACAAACAACTAATGGCCACAAGCATAAAAACAGTCTTGAACTTGCTATTCTCAAAATATTTTAGTAATCACATTTTCAAAAATTTTCTTCTTCTGGTCCAGACCTGTGATTTCAATGGTTAGGGACTCTTCATGAGGAAACTGCATCTATCAATACAAATGAGCTCTTGGGGTCCTTGGAGGTTAAGTGACTTAACAGGATCATCCAGATTTTATGTGTTATGGACAAGACTTCAAACCTAGGCCTTTCCTACATGTTGAGGCAATATCACTGTCTTTCTCTGTCTGTCTCTGTCTCTCTCTCCTCTCTCCTCCTCTCTCTTTCTGTCTCTCTCTCTGTCTCTCTCTCTCTCTCTCTCTCCCCCTTCTCTCTCTCTCTCTGTCTCTCTCTTTGTTTCTCTCATTCATTATGCCACGCTCATTCTCTCTAAGAAGTTATCACTGAAAATCCCAGACCACACTGTGAATCCCCCAAGGCCAGGTTCCTGCACTGTGGTGTCCTCTGAACAGGTGTTTTTGTAAGAAGGGGATTTATTGAATCTAACCTCCCAGCTGTAAACCATCAATGCAGCTTTTATTAGATTAAGCACAATGTACATTGAAAGCTCTTCACTCAGTTAATTGTCCATATAAACAAACAGTTTTGTTGTTCACAGATAATTATCTGGTACTGTAGTGGACACATCAGTGTATAGCCACTGAACTTGGTGCTAAAATTGAAATATTTTCTACTATATTGTCTCAAAAAACACTTGCAGGTCAAAAAAGGATGAACATTTCATTACTTAGACTCTAGGAAAGGAACTGTTCATGCATTAGAATCAAGAGCAAAATGACAAGACATTTTCATTTTTTTATATATATGTGAGAGAAAGATGAGAATCCATTATTTAGTGACTATTGGAGAACCAAGATGTCTATCCCTCTCCACCCTCATGTTTTTTGTTCCCTTTTCTCTATTCAAAAATTTCTATCAGAAGAACATCACGGCTCTTAAGTTACCTGTCTGTATCCCCAGGAAACTCTTGAACTTGGAGTAGGAGATGCCTCACTTTCCTGCGGGAGGCTCAGCTACTCCCATAGAGCTCACTTTTCCACACTCCCAAGAGAAGAGGCACTTGTCTCTTCTCCCTTGTCCTCTTGCCTTTCTGTCTACTACTCTCCCCATCCCCCAATCTGTAGCAGCACCTTCAGCAAAATGTCTTTCAAGGGAGGAGGACAGGATGGAGAGGGAGGAGGGGGAAGAAAGGACACAGAGTAACAAAATTCTCTTCTAAAGAGAAGGAAGGCCAGTCCCTGCTACCTTCTCCTACAAATGTTGTACTCAGGGTGATATCTAAATTAATCAGTCCTTCTGGGTGCTCCCCTCTCTTCCTGCCCCTTACCTCTCCGTCCCCTCCAAAGTGAAACAGTTCCTGCTCGGGGGGGGGGGGGGGATTTGTGATGACAACATGGAAAGAAAAAGGAGAGGAAGAGGGTGAGAGCAGGGAAGCACTAGCATGGGATGGCAGTTGGGGGCACAGGGCAGATGAGCCTTGAAGGAAGGAAGGAAGGAAGGAAGGAAGGAAGGAAGGAAGGAAGGAAGGAAGGAGAATAGGAAGGAAAATAGGAAGGAAAGAAGGAAGGATGAATTTCTTAAATATCTACACTATTTAAGGCAGTATACTAGATACTTTACAAATGTTATCTCATTTGATCTTCACAACAGTCCTGGGAGATATGTGCTATACAATTAAGGAAACTGAGGTAGCTAGAGGTTAAGTGACTTGCCCAGAGTCACATAGCTATAGTGACTGAGGCTGGGCATGAATTCAGGTCTTCCTGACTCTAGGACCAGCACTCTATCCATTCTACCACGTGGAATAGGCAGAGAGATGGGAGATGAAGTCACATGAGTAAGGAATAATAAGGAGGTTGGTTTGGCTGCCTGGAGGGTAATTGTAATAAGCCTTAAAAATTATACAAATCAATACAAAG